CTAGACGGCAATATCCCCCGGCCCCGGGGCCCCCGATGGCGCCCCTTCGGGAAAGCAGGGGCCCCCGGACGCCCCCTTCCCAAGGGTCCTCTGCTGGGGTCTAAGAGCTACAGCTGCCCCGACGCCACTGCCTGTGCCCTCAGCGCCCCCACCCTACTGAGGATCTCGCTTACCGCCAGACCCCTCAGTCCTGCCCTAGGCCCTCTTCCGGGAAACAGGCCCCCAGTAATCATCTCACCAGGAAATCCCTCAAGGGGAGCCCCCGGAGCGGTGCCCTCCAGACTAGCTGGCTTCCGCCCCCACGCTGGGGACACACGACGGCGCCTCTTCTGTAAATCCAGAGCCCCAAGTCGCCCCCTCAGGTCCCCCCCCGCCCAACTAAGAGCCACAGCGCCCACCCCGACGACGACGGTGACCGTCACCTACAACTGCCTCCACCCCTCTGAGGATGGCGCCCCACCCGCGTCCTGCCCCGGATCCCCTTTCCAAAACGCTCAAGAGGCTCCCTCCCAAGAAAGCCTTTCCAGGGAACTGAGACCCCAAGTTCTCCCCTAAGAGGGCACCCGCTGTCCACAGAGCCCCCCATTAAGTAGCAGTTCCTCCCCACCCGTCTGGCCTCAGAGCCCTGCAGGGTACCCCCTTCTCCCTGCTGGCCCCCGCCAGCGCCCCCTCCTGGGCACCCAGACTCGCCGCGCCCCGCGCTATCCCCGACGGCTCCGCGTTCCCAAAGCGCCCCCTGGCGGCGCGGGCGGGGCCAGGCCGGGTGGGCGGGGCCGGGACCGCCGTCGCCCCGCCCCCTGTCCCAGCAGCGTTCCCGGGGAACACCCACCCCGCAGCAGGCCCGAGGCCCCCGCGCGCGGACTCCTCCCCATACCCCTGCGTTCTGGGGGCCCCGCGCTCTGGTTTCTCACTCCCGCCGTCTGATTTCTTGGGGCCTCCTTCTCACTCCCGCCCTGGCCACCTGCATTCTCCATCCCGGCAGCCTGAGGGTTCGGATGGGGATCAGGCCTTCCTGGGAAGGAACCGTCTCCCCTGCCACAGACACGTCCCCCCAGGGGCCCGTACGACTTGCAGCACTACACAGTGCAAAGGAGGTGGGCGCGCGCGGGCTGATGCGCGCGGGTCGCTGCACGTGTGAGCGGGGTGCATGCCGGGAGGTAAATTCTGGGGTTGGGGGACATGAACGTGAGCGTGTGTCAGAGGAGTGGCGGCCCGTTCCCTAGTCCAGAATGGAAAAGAACAGAGATCTGTGCTCTCTGTGGCCTTGGGCCGCTACTTCCTCCCCCTGTGCCTCAGTTTCCTCACTTGTAACACGGGGTATTATTAGTAGATCCTAATTGTATGACTAAGAATGAGTCACCGTGCCTGGCGCCTGGTGAGCACATCCCAATGTCTGCCATCATTGGTGATTCGAAATGCCGGCGCCCGGGCTCTGGCACCCACCCACTCCCGCGCACAGGCTGGCCGGGAGGGAAGGGCGCAGCGCCGAGGTCGCTCACGCACAGACCCCCAAACCGTTGTTCCAGGCAGGGTCACACCCATCGCTATACCTGCATTCGCACACAAACCCGGACACCCTGATGACAACACTGCCATTGCTACACAGGGTCACGACCACCCACGATTGACACACTCCTGACTCCTCTACTTGCATCGCACACGGACACACACACTCTCGGGGAGGGGGGTGTCCTTCCTTCCATCAGACGCCTCCGAACCCACTCATGCACACAGACACGGACTCGCACTGTCCCTAACGCACACACAAGCGCGCGCGCACACAAGTTGTGAGTTTCCCTTGGAGAGACCGACACACAGACACACGTATTCACACACTTAGGCCACGAGCCCTCAGGGTGGCTCCTTGGTTGCTGGTGCACACCCAAGCATGCACACGTGCACGCACGCTCGGCGGATCCTTACACACTCACACACACACAGTCCCCGGGACACTCCACACAGACGATACGACCCACTCCCAGCCCAGGACCACTCACACCATACGTGGTGCGTGCACACACACCGCGCTCACACACACACAACCGCAACACCCACGGGCCACCCTGTGCACGCGGTGCTACCCACAGCCACACACTCGCAGGAACCACGGAGACTCTGTCGCACATGCGGACGTGCCCCCCCCCACGCTGGACGCGTCTGGTAGACACAGCCCCCCCCTGCACACAGGCAGCCAGGCCAGGAGCCCAAGCCCGCCAGCCACCATTAAGCTGTCACCAGCCGCCCCTAGGCCGCCTCCCGCTCACCCCACACCGCCTGTGCCCCCCTCCCCGCCACGGCTGGGGGCCCCGGGGGCGGGGGCCTGCAGACACATGGGGCGCAGGACACACACATGTGCCCACCATGTGGACGCTCGTAAAACGGTTGCCCTGGCAACGGGGACTTGAAAGACTTGGTTCTTCCCCTGGGATGGGGGGGAGCCTTCGGGGGTGGAGCCAAAGTGGGGGGCGGGGCTCGAGGCAGGAGGTGGGGACACAAGGACCCACACCCACCTCCAACCATCACACTTGGGGACACACACGCGGACACAAACACACACTTGGGGCAGGACTGTTCAGGGCCAGCCCCCCATGGTCACCCCAGAAACACAGGTTCCTTGTATCCTGACGCCCTCCTACATCACTGCACACTCTCTCACCGACCCACACACTGTGTCACCCCCTAGACAGGAGGTGACAGACAGACACCCTGTCACACTGGCTGACTCACACTGCAGTGGGGATCTGAGATGCCACACAGACACAGCTGCCCTTCCAGGACCCCTGCAGCCCCAGCCAGGCCCGGGCCCATCCCTGCAGGGAACCCGGGGGCCAGGAGGGACCCTCCACTGAGACCAGCACTCAGGACCCCACCCCTCCGAAGAGGCTGTCTGGGCTGGGCTGCCCGGGAGGCCGGCGGACTCAGGGGCTGCTTCTATGTGCAGGAAACACGGCTATTTACAATGCTTTATTTTTAAACCTTTTTTGTCCCAGACTTGGGCTGCTGCAAGGCAGGGGTGGGTGTAGCCAAGCCTTGAACCTCCCCTGCTCCAAGTGCAGCCTGTGGGTGGGATCTGTGGTCTTCCAGAGCATGGATGTGGGGAAACTGAGGCTCAGAGAGGCACAGGGGGACACCCATGGGCATGTGACTTTGATCCAAGCCTGCCGGCCCCAGGGTGAAGGCCGCAGCAGGGGTGGGATGGGGCGGGGGCAGCTGCCTGCCTGTGCTCCCCGGTGTGTTTCACTGAAATGAGTTCCACTCCTTCTCTGTGTCCTCAACTGTCGCCCCAGGTAATTCCTGGCAACACCCACCCCCAGGCTGCTCTGTGCACACTTGGTGGTTGTGGAACCTAAGGATCAGAGAGGTCAAGTTGCTGGCCCAAGGTCACACAGGAAGGAAGAGGCAGGAAACTGAGGCTAGATGACTCCAGACGCTCCAGCCCTGTTCCCCAGAGCTGGGCCCCTGCCCTCCCTGGGAGGCCACTGTTCCCAAGGGGAGTGTCCTGTTCCTCGGGTGGAGCCTTAGGCAGAGGTTCTCGGAGGCCAGCGGCCGCTAGCCAAGACTCGGACTTGGCTGGTGGAGAAGTTTCCATCTTAGCTCCAGGAGTTGGTCCAGGTCCAGCGGGCCCGGGGCTGCAGCTCGGGACCCCCAGGGACCAGCCCTGTGGGGGTGGAGGTGGCTGGGTGCCCACCGTGTCCCCTGGCCAGAGCATTGGCCATCTCTGCACACTGAGCCCCTCTGCAAAGTGGCTCCCACGTTGACTCTGTGCCCGGCACTGTGCACACATCGTACCTGATGGGTGTCATTCTCCCATGGGGAAGTGAAGGGACTCGCCCAGGTCACCGGGACCACCCAGAGGCTCCTCCGCGCTAGGCTTTGGGGCTACTGATGGCACAAAGTCGCTCTCATCTCAAGCCGGGCCGTGCTGAGCACAGACAGAGGTTCAGCTCCGGCAGGGGGACACAGAGCTGGACACGCACGCCTCGCTGGGGTCAGGCTGGGCCGGAGGAAGGGCCCCGGGAGCCGGAGGAGGGGCCGGCCAGGCCGAGATGGGGCCCACAAGGCCTGTGGGCGGCAGGAAGGGGCTGGCCCGCTCCAGGCGAGGATGGTAAAAACGGCTGGCGGTGGTCCCCGCAGAGCCATTTACAGCCACAGGTCGCAGGTTAAGGGCCCTGTCCCTGGAGGCCTTGGGCCAGCAAGGTGGGAAAACCATCAGGCCTGCAGGGAAGCCAGGGTGTGGAGGGCGGGTGAGGGCTCGGAAGCCAGGTTGTGCAGGCACCTGTGGGGTGGGGCAGGGGCTGAGAAGCTCTTCCTGGGACTCCCAGGGACACAAACACTCGTGCACACACACACACACACACACACGCATGCACACACGGAGTGACACAGACCACAGCCACAAATATATA